CCCTCAGATTGCGAGTCGAGTGCCTTAACCACCTGGCCATGCTGGGCCACTTCTTTTTGTACTCTTAAAAATGGAATAACTCACAACATTTATTTGTTTACGTTTAACTTTTGGAATAAACATAACAGTTGTTTTTTTAAAAAATAAAATACGCAGTAATTTATAGGCAGAACTAACTTCCTTAAAAATTAGCCTTCCGCTTCTGAATGATTAGTGTTTGTTTATTAATCGTTAAGCACAAAGTTACATAATATACTATATTTGCTGTACGCACCACGAAACCCGGTTTTTAGCGTGATAAGTCCACGGGTTCAGCTACTGGGGTGCTTCTGAATGAGTAAGTATACATAATAAGTTATACTTGTAGAATATTTTCTACGCTTTTAAAAATTTTTACAGTTCCTGTCTAAGTAAATAATTTGGTCTATGTCTTTGTACCTTTCAGCAATATTACAACTAGAATAACTAACTTCTTCTTCTGATTATTATTCTAATTACCAAACTTTAAATCCAAGTAAGGAAGAAATGTCTACAGTAAAAGGCTTAGAGAAAATAACACTAGTGACATTACTAAATCTGATAAAAGAAATAATACAGTCATTTTGGATAACATGGAATATCTAACTAAAATTGATAACATTTTGAGTGATTCGAATCAAATTTGTGAAGGTTGACCAAGATCCTAGTGACACAAGTAAATATAAAATTACAAAGATGTCTATTGAAATCAAAAAATTATAATGTGTTACATTAGACAATAAATCAGAAATTAGATCATTTGAAAGCCATTCGTGGATTTTTTTATGACATTCCCAATATACATAAATAAAAATGCCTATTAAAACCTATAGTTTCAAATATTGGATCTTATAATCGCATTCTTTGTCAGGTTATTTAGTTGGTTTTTTTGAAGAATTTTACTTTTAACGAATATACTTTGAAGACAGTTTTGAATTTTTTAGTGAAATACACATTTTAAAGTTTGACAGTAAGGTTTATTGCATTAATTTGGGCACTGAGTCCTGGTATACTAAGATCTCTTTGGAAATGACGCTAACTTTAAGAGCACATTTAATCTGTAATGAAATTTCAAACGAGCTATGCTTTACAAATTTTATAGTTTTTTTACGTTAATAAATTTTAAAACTGAGGAATCGCATTTGCTGTTCAATGATCAGGTTGATAGTGTAGCTATAAGTTCCAGACTGGTTCCTTCTCTTGTTATATTTTTCTTTTGTTTTCATAGAAAGCAATTATTGGAGGATTGTCCAAAATCCTTTAAACTATTATATTATCTAAATATGTAGATGATACTTTTACCATCTTCAGGGATCCACATCATGTTCCACAGTTTCTGGAGGATTTAATTAGCAAACATGAGCGTATTAAATGTATATTTGGACACCAATAATATCATAAACGTGAGTTTCTAGACATATTAGTTTTCATAACTTTGATGATAACTTTAAATGTGAAGTTTACCAACAAAAAACATTTACTGGCCTTTACTTTAACTTCATAAGTTAGATACTAACTGTGTTTAAAGAAAACTTGGTAGAGATCTTAGCTCATTGTACATATAATATCTCAAGCACCTATGAATTTTTGCAAAACATATTTGTCACCATCAATACTTTTTATAAAAAAAAATGGTGTTTCTATTTATTTAATTGATCGAATAATTTGTGACTATTTCAACAAATTGAACTGTATTAAACTATGAACGTATGACGTTCCTATATTGTCCAGTTTTATAATTTTGTCATATATCATTAAGCATTTTTTGTATGTTAAAAACAACTACGAAACCCACTTTGTAGTGTGTATATCCACGTGTATAACTGAGATGCTTTTTATAACTAGGATCATAATTTCTCCAGATATAAGTAACGCATTTCTTCATTGAAAACTTCAAATGTATATTACTAGTCTACCTGACATTGTTGCAAGCAAGATTACAACAGTTCTACTGCGAGAAAGGTGCGGACACGAGTGAAATAACATGCAAATTTAAAATTTCCGAAAAAAATCAAGTGTATTTGTGCATGTCCTACGTGGGTGTGACGTAGTCATACATTCAAATAATTTCAAGATCTTAAAAAAGGCCAAAGATGAACAGAACCTTCGTATAAAAGAGAGCTTTCTCATTCATAAGCTGAGTCTCTGAAAATTGACCAAGTTAGTTCAACTGTTTTTTTTTTCATAACTTTAAAAATGGTTTCGTTTATTTCTAAACCCTGACCCCCCCCCCCAGTGGCACAGCGGTATATGTCTGCACTTACAACGCTAAAATCCGGGTTTCGATACCCGTGGTGGGCAGAGCACAGATAGCCCATTGTGTAGCATTGTGTTTAATTACAAACAAACAAACAATTCTAAACCCTTCAACTGAATTAGTTTGAAATAAAGTAACATTAAACTTTCAATGCTTCATTAATATTTCTTATTTGTTCATCGATGTTTAGATGTTCATTTCTGCTTTAAATCCTCAGATAAACAGAAACAAATCGAATAAACATGAAACATAATTTCAAATATTATATATATTTCAAATTCCTCTACATACCATAGCCTCGTCGTAAGATCACTTCCGGTGCAATATATTCTGGTGTCCCAATCACTTGTTTATCATTAAATAGTTTGGTATCTCGGTCCAAACATCCTTCGTAAAGATTTGTAGCCACTGTGGATAAAACCTTATTAATTATCATCGTGTTAGAAATGAATACACAACTCTCTAATTGGTAGGAATAAATACAACAGGTTAGAAAAAAAAACCATTTTCAATCTGTAAGAATACTGTATCGGATAATATATAAATACAAGACTATCAAAAACAACTGTTAATTTCCAACAGTCGAGCGTATGGAGCTGTGATAAACACTCGTAAAATTAGCGGTAAAAACAAATTCAACCTGTATATACTGATAGCTCAATCACCTGAGAAATTCTACAAACGTTTTACTGTTCCATTCTAAAATGTATCTTAATAGCAAGCATTATTCAGTATATAATTCACTACTTTTCGAAACCCTGAAGTCTATAAACACCAATCCTTCGAATATGACTTTGACAAACCTTGTTTTTTTGATAGTACTATGAGAAATAATTTTATAATAAATCAACGAGTCTGTGATAATTCTATACATTTTTCGTTTATCTATTTGTTGTTATTAATATTATTTTTACATGATAATAGGGTGAAGCTAGAACTTTTCAATGTACTTACAAAAGATCCACTGGAGAGAATTTTCCATCCACACACGAATTTTTCAAACATTGTTTACTTTGTGGGTTTGCTCTAAATATTAGTTAGTAAAATCCCATGGTTTTGAAAGTACTCATAATTATATCATATTTTTAATATAAAATCGAAATTCTTAAAATCAATCTTTATATGTGTGTGAAATTAATTTCGTTCGGAATGTTATTTATAGTTGTATGTGCTTGTAAAGTCCCGAAATGCTTTATGAAATTATGCATTTAATTAGGATATTTGATACATGTATTAGTCAGCATCGGGGATGTTTTCTGAAAAAATTGAATCAAGTATGTATACATATAAGAGAGATTAAAATATATACAGATGTACTTACAATTCATTAGTCCAATTTTTGAGAGACCAAAGTCTGTGAGTTTTATATGGCCCATAGCAGTGATAAGAAGACTGAAACAGTAACAAAAATAGAAAATTGGGAAAATATTCATACTGCTTTCCATTTAATGATGTATACTACTGAAAACAATTATGGAAACAATTAATAAAATGGGTGTAAATACAAATATTTTGGGATTGGTCCCCTTTATTGTATGAAAATGAACAATACCAGTTTAAAGTCACGTGCTAATCTTTTACCCTGCGATTAGCTGTCATCCAACCAATCAGGTAGTGCTACATCATCCTAAACACTACTTGGCCTGTACAAAGTCACGATATGGATATTATTGAAGCTGAAGGGCGAATTTGGAAACAAAGAAAATCAAATGGCCGCCAAACAACTTGTCTAAATTGTGCAGATTAATATTATGCACTTGGATATATATTTTACAATTATACATTGTTTTTGTTGTTTGTTATTAAGCACAAAGCTACACAAAGGGCTATCTATACTCTTCTCACCACGGGTATCGAAACCCGATTTCTAGTGGTATAAGTCCACAGACATACTGCTCTGTTACTGGGGGCATCATACATCATACAAAAATAACGTGTACTTCTCTGGCTAAATGAAAGAGCAAATAATTCTAGCAACTATTCTTTGTGATTCCTGTATGTGTATTTCCAAAATTATTTCAAAAACTGTGAATTTTTAGTGTTAAGCTAAACTCAAAATTATATACGCCATTGTTCATTATTGGGTGGTACTACTTCAGAAAAATTATATTGATATATTTATATTATCATAGCATTCGACGGTGCAATCGCACAAACTTCATTGGTTTTAAAAGAGTTGCTTTTTCTATTACATAGCATTTTAAACAAGAAGCCTAGACTTTTCAAATTGTCTATTTTATTTTTACATTTTAATTATAAATATTAGAAGAAAACATTTGAACAGCATCTAATTATTTAAACTAAGAACAAAAACACGTTACTGGACAGTAGCTATTACTACTTCCATAAAAAGTGTATCATATCTATTCTTTTAAAGTTCTGACATCTATATTTCTTTCATACACCTTTAGTTTTATGGAAAAGACTCAATAGATGGCAACACTGTAGTGTTTGGTATATATTAATGTTTTAAAGTACAAAAGAAAGGATAGTTAACATACTTGTCAGGCTTAAGATCTCTATGGACAATGCCGTAGCTGTGAAGATATTCAACTGCTAATACAGTTTCTGCAAAGTAAAATCGCGCCATATCTAGAGGTAGAGGCCCCATGTTCTTCACTAAAGTAGCACAGTCTCCCCCTTCCGATAGCGTACTGAAATAAAGAAAACAAAAATGTTGTAAGAAAATATCGAGTGTTCCAAAACGCCTTTACTAATCACCCTTTCATTTCGTAAGTAATGTATCGAACATTTCTATATCACATACTTTTACTTATATAATACTATACATTGATGCCTATATTTTTCTTCCCAAAATATTAGAAACATCTGTGTATGGTGATGGAATATGTACCCCACTGAATGTTTCATCTATCAATCAGCCATATGTCTATTTATTTACCTAATTATCTATTTTTTATTATTTCTCTCTATTTGCTTATTAATCAATATGTTAGAATGCTTTGAACACTAATATTAATATTTCTTTTTAAAACATGTACACTTTTGATTGTTTGTTTGGTTTGAATTTCGCGAAAAGCTACACGAGGGCTATCTGCGCTAGCCGTTCCTAATTTAGCAATGTAAGACTAGAGAGAATGCAGCTAGTCATCACCACCCACCGCCAACTCTTGGGCTACTCTTTCACCAACGAATAATGGGATTGACTATCACATTATAACGCCCCCAAGACTGAAAGGGCGAGCATGTTCGATGGGACGGCGATTTGATCCCTCGATATGTAGATTGCTCCCTAACTACTTGGCCATGCCGGGCTCTACACTTTTAAAAGATTTTTATGTACATTTATCAGTTTGTTATTTTACTCTAAGCTAATGTAAAACTTACAACGGTACTGAAGTTTGGAGACCTTTCAGAATTTTACGATTGCATAGAAAATGAAAACAAACTATCAGTTCTGGTGTTTATAAATCACATATTACAGAAAAACGTGCATTAACAACTTAAAATAGTACAATAGAAATGTTTTATTAACTTTCACTATTGAAACTTTATTTCGTTAAAAAAAATCTGTTGTAACTCTTAATGCTTGCCAACTCAAGTATAAAAGACTGAAAACTGTATTATGTGTCAAAAGTTTTAAATAAAAACAACTATGAATTGTAGTTGTTATACCTGATGATGCCATGTTAACCTCTGTATATCCGACAGTAAACAAGTTTTAAGTTTTAAAAACATTACGGTATTTTTAATTACTACTTTTATTAAAACAAAAAACCATTTGATTTACATAATTAATGTTGCTACTCAGTTAGACACATTCTAGATATATTTTGGTTAGGTTCTGAAGTATTCTTAGGATTAAATTAATGTAAGTTACTGAAACATTTCACAATTCTTTCAATGGTTTTTTTTAATTATTTTATGATCTATGAATTTCGTGCTTAAGATAGGTAAATTTTAGTGGCTACGATCCATATAAACTGATTAGTTGCACCAATCAACACTATATGTTTATATAATAATTCTGGTAAAAGCATGCTTGTTTTGTTTAAGCGCAAAGCTACACCACAGGATATCTATATCATGTCCGTCATGGGGATGGAACTCTTAATTTTAAAATGACTATGTAATAAATGCCTTTTATATATATAACATTTTCAGCATTGCATTTATTTTCAAAATTAACAGTAAAAAAATTAATTGATGTTGAAATTAACATACAAATGATAATTTATTATAGAGTTTTATTATAAGGAAGATAATTTTGTTGAAAGTGGTAGAGAGAGAGACACATTAAAAAATCTATTGTTGTGTTCTCTGAATTATTACAAAAATCTAACTGAAGTATCTGTAATGGAATTACTTTCCAAATCCGCTTGTACTGAGCACCGTATTCCTCGTACGGAAATATTGTAAAATACTGAAAATAAACAAGATAAGTATAGCTGCTAAAATTCGTTCCAAATACAGTGGTTATCATGCCCGCACTTTGAAACTGAGAATTCATGGTTCGTATCCCACTACCGCAAATCTCGCTTTGCATTTTAGGATCGTGGATCTGCTGTAAGAGTGACAGTCAACTTCCTCTGTTCAGTCAGACAGGAGTGATCAAACAGATGTCGTTGGGTACGTTTGTCTAGCTGTCTTCCTCATAGTCTGTTAGCTCAAGATTGTGAATAATAAATACGCATGTAACTTTTTCGTAGCTCTGCGAAAAAAATCTGAAACAAACACATTTTCTAATTATATGATGGGGACTGTCCTCTAGTTTCTTTACTAAATTAGTTTTCAAATATTTACAAAACATCTGAAGTAAAATCACTTTTCAAACAGTTGCATGACCTGATGAAAATATTTTAATGTTTTTCAAAATTTGTAGTGCATATTCGGGGGATTTAGACATTTTGGCAATAAATGTAGAAAATAAAACGACCTTTAGTCTCCATATAGCAATACAAAAACTTATCTCAGCTAATATTTGACCTTTGCGGCTTCATCAGGGCTTAGTTGTACAAGAATCAATTCTTGTACAACTAAGCCCTGATGATGGCGAAACGTTCTTCTACTACTGCCCCTAATAAAGCCGCAATGGCGAAACGTTGGTGAAATAAAGTTTTATATTATTATCTAGAGAGTAAAGATTGTTTTCTTTCTAACTTAGTTATACGACCTTCTGAAGCCGAACTACTTCACAAAATAAGAAAAAATTTAAAAAAACGACAACATCTATCGCACAACTAATTTCCCAATAGCTTCAACAACTACTTTCCATTTGAAACAAAACTAGTTTTTAATGACATTTTAATCTCTCTCCCACATATATCTATATATATGTATAAATACCTTAGTATCGAAGGTACAAAACATGCCAACGACGAAGGGATTATCAGTAAAACTCATGATATCTCTTTCGGCAAATGCTTGCTCTATCTGATTTCGTAGAATGAGGTTCTGTTTGTTGATCTTCTTCATCGCAAATCGTTCCCTGGTGTCCTTATGTCGAACTAGATACACTGCACTGGCGGAGTAAAAGATATATGAATATATGTACATATACAGCTTTGTTTTAAGATAATATATACGTATATATTTTGTTGCGTTTACAAGAGAAAATAAAATTATTTAATTTTGATTTTGCTCCATAAATACTCTAAATGCTTACATTGATTTCTAAAGAAAAATACTGCACGGGCACATACTGAAAGAGACATGCACAGCTGGGTTAAGAAAAAAAATACGAAGTTACCCATAAGCTCCGTTACTAATCAATTTGATTGTTTCAAAGCTTTCTTCGGAAGGGGCTTTTGTTCTTTGGTTTTCTGGTAATAATGCCTGTTGAAATATAAACAATGGGATGTCTAAAATTAACTAGAGGGAAAAATAAGTTAGAAAAAATACTATAGTGTTTGTTGTTTATCGCCAACACAATTATATATATTGACCCAAAATACATTGTACTCAAGAAATGGGTAAGTTAAAAACACTAAGTGTAATATATAGTACGGAATATGCTAAAATATTATAACTGAAAGAATCATATATCAATACAAAGTGAATATTTTAAAAAGAGGTAAATCATTTTCAAGAAACTGAAAACAGCCATTAACCAACAACGAAGTTAAGCCTAGTAGGATAACAATATAGACCTAACTATACTGAAACAATATGCTTATGAATAAAAATGTTAAGCCTAATTAGAAACAGGCACCAATCTGTCAGTTATCAGTTAATTTATTTACATCAGTTTTCAAAAGTATAATTTATGATAAAAACGGGCTCCTAAACATATATGTCCAATAACTACAAAATAATATAGATAACCAGGAATTCTAGTAATATATATTTGATTCTGATGTGGTGAAAATACGAAAGGTTTACCCAAGATTAACTTATATTGAAACGACACACCTCATGCTGTTCTTCTATAATTCTGTCCGGGAGCTCAGCATCTTCAGGTTCACCAGTAATAACTTCACTTGTGAAATCTGTAAAATTGATAGATACCAGAAACCTTTACCATAAGATTTCAAACACTGATTTAAAGATATAAAACCTCTTACAATAGAACCAGGGTTTACATAGTCTAATTTATTTGTTATTTCTTTTACATATTAAGTTACTTTTGTCAACTATTACAACAAACAGAGTTTGGAGATATCTGTTAAAAAACTAAAAAGACTTTTAGACATCAATCACACAAAAATTCATTGGGCAACATTCTCTATCATTGTTATTCCTAATCAAGATACAATACGTTCACTCTTTGTTCACCGAAACAGACGTTGTTCTAGTTTTGATTCTTAAAAATACGTTACACCTACTTTTAAAAACTCATTCATATCTGTAACCCACCTACTTTTAAAAAGTTTTTCATATTTGTAACCCACCTACTTTTAAAACTTATTCATATCTGTAACCCACCTACTTTTAAAAACTTATTCATATCTGTAACCCACCTACTTTTAAAAACTTATTCATATCTGTAACCCACCTACTTTTAAAAACTTATTCATATCTGTACAATACCCCACATACTTAAACTTTATTTTATTTTATTTTTGAAACAACTAATGACTGCAAAACGAGGGTGTAGAGAGACGTTAAAACGTACCAGCAAGGGGATCTCGGTTTAGTCGTAGTTTGTTGATGATATATTGTGGCATATCAGATTTTACGCCTTGGACGACTTTAGCTTGTCCTTCAACGGCTTCTAACAACCTATAAAAATCTTCTGGATCAAACTCCTGCAAATAAAGAACCGTTTCCAACAAATAACTTATTTTAACTTTAATCTGGTCTACACACATCATCATCATCATTTCTCTACCGCAGCTTTTCATCTATAGAAGAGGAATGATTTATGACCATACATTCTCGAACTGCATATTTTTGGCATTACATAATTATCATGAAAATGATACGGATTAATCCATACATTATGACGTTCTTTATCAATAAATTCTAATCAAAGTAAGCTACGTATAGAGAGCAGAACTGAAAATCATTCCAGTAAATAATGTAGGTATTATTTGATATACCAATCTAACTAAGAGTTAGCAATATCATAAGAAGAACTTAGGTATGATTAGAATGCATTAATTAATCAGCTGGGTACCCTCGCGCTTATCGATGTTTTCGGCCGTAATCCAATTTCTCAACAGCATATTGTTTCTTTTAACTGACATTCTGTATTAACTTTTGTAATTATTTCTCGCCAGTGTATTGTTCGTTTAGTGTTCTATCATCTCATTTTTATATCTCTTTTATGCATTTGTTCTTCAATAAACTACACTTGCACATTAAAAAACAAAATTATCTTATTTTATAGTAATATCAAAGTAGAAATCAAGTGTTTTCTTTGTTTAACTTACCAAACATTCCAGTAATCTGGCAGGTCTTGAAACAATCAATAACAGCTTCTTGATTAGATTTCTGAGATGACTGGTTGCTGTGGATGACTTCTCACGACACTGAAACGACAATAATGCCCTTAAGTGCAATCATATTCTCGGATAAAAAAAAATAACATGTCTCTTTAACATCTAAAACAATTAGCATATTCAGAAAAGTAATCGTACTTCATTTAATCGATTTTTGTATACAGTGATGTGTTGCCATAAATGAAAGCCATGGTACCACGGGCGACGTGTTTATCATCTGAATATTTGGTTCACTGCGAATGTTTAACAATTCAACAGTATAATGACGCCATGGGGAAATTTTTACTAGAAGATTATAAAAATCGTTCCGCAGAAAAATATTCATAAAGTAAGATTGTTAAACGAAGTACACCCAAAATGGCAAAACCTTTCGGCTTTCAATGTACTCCAAGTAGGAAATCTCGTACAGCAGAATGGTTAGGAAAGCAATGGGCTCCGAAATCACACTCCATCCTACTCTGGAGCAATACTTTCATTCGCAAAGTAAGGGTTGTGGTTACGTAAGAGAAGCCTTCAACAACAAAGTTATTGTGATGAAGTTGGACATAACTCCTGGTATCATTATCACGATATTAAGCAAGATTTTGAAGTTGAAGTTGACAAACTAAAAGCCACACCCCAAAATCAATGACTATTTTTATGTGTAAAATTGTCGATAAAACTGTAACCACGCCAATCATTTTCTACAACATATCTAACAAGTTTCCTGATGAAGATGCAATAGACATTTCCTCCTATATATTTGTTTAAATGCGGTCTTGGAAGTCGAAGTCCACGTACAAAAAAAAAGGGGTCTCTAGAAAGTTTGTCAAGATGCGAGGTTTAAGAGTGGTGTCACCATACTTTGTGGAAGGTTCTTACCTCAAAGTAAAGTTTTTCGACGTTTTCTGACATTTCATAAAAGTAACGGGAAGTCACGAGTTTCTCCTGCGACTTTTGGAGGCAATCTCTGGCCATTTCCATGACTTGAAAGTGAGCAAAACGAGTGACAGCGTCTGAATTGAGATCCGGGTCTAACTCCTGACCATTTTCAAGAAACTTCTCTAACCTATCTTCCATTTGACGTGTAGCCTGAGTGAGATAACACGATAAAGATAACTTCTGGATAATCCACATTAGTGGAAGTGTTTTTCTTATTTGTCAATATGTATCAAACACAAAAAGTCATTTATAAAGAACATATAATAACCTGTGGTGAAGGGTCAGTCAAGGTGACCGACAAGATTTTCTCACAATGATTTCGGTCCACTAAGTCGAATTTTATACTTCCTAAAAAACGTTTAGTAATTTATGACCTATACTACAACTTATATACACACATTAGTAATCACAATATAATCCGTGTATTTGATAACCACTACTTAACTTAAAACCACATTACGTTAAAGAATATGCGAACCTTAGGAAATCTTTCCTTGTAAACGTTATTCATCAGGATAATATCACCTTCCATCCCAGGAGATCGCACAGGACTGCTGGCCAAATAGAAATGAAAACATACAATTACTAACTTACACATGTTTGACATACTCCGTTTCAAGATATTCCGGTTCTATTTAGAATATTCTGTATTTTATTACACATACTAAATGATGCATATATTTAAAACTTGAATGCCAATCGGAAAAATGATTAAGTGACTCGGGTAATTAAGAAGGTGACCTCCTTTTTTTTAATAAAGATGCTCTTCAGCTTCTGCTAACTTGATAAAACAAACATCCATTAAAACACTTCAGAAAACACTAACACAATGATGAACACTCTGGTAACTTGATAAAACAAACATCCATCAAAACGCTTCAGAAAACACTAACTTAATGATGAACACTTTGCTAACTTGAAGACTCAACCATCCTTCATGAACGCTTCGGAAAACTAACTTAAAGATGAACACTCCACTTAAATTAACAAGGTCAGTATATTACAATAAGCAACTTAATTATTTTTGTATGATTTTATGATTTGATTAGTAATTGATCTAATGTGTTTTTTGTACCAGAAAAGGATTTGGAAATTGCTAAATGACTAGTACATTGGGGAAAAGTTAAGATATCTTAGATCTTACGTAATGTGTTGAAAAATATCATTTTTACTAGTGACTTTTTTTTTATGAAAAGCATCTGGAGTCTAAAGTGAAATGTAACAAACTAGAACTAAATATTGTTATTAAAATAACTCAAGGAAACGAAAACTATCATAATATCAAAACTCCTGTATAAAATGAAAACTTTCACTTTTAAAATAGCAGTTGTTTCTTTTAAGAGTACATGTTTCAAAATACAGAGAAATATTTTAATCAAATTAAAAAGAACTCTAATAGACGCTATTCTTCACACCATTAATACTTTTATAGAAATTAAAATATCACCTTAAACTTCTAGACCTTGACCGCAATAGTGGCGATTTGTGACCATCTTCCTCGATACCCGGGCTGCTCTCGTAGCTACTAAATCTCGATAGGTGGCGTCTCTCTTCTACAGCAGGATGACTGGGAAGGAGTTGAAGCTTTTCTTGAGAGGTACACTGAGACTGAAAAATGTGCGATAACTGTTACAAATATGGTCTTAGGTCAGGACAGAGACGTTGCGTGGCTTGTCACGTAGTAATAACATTATAAAAGTATCACTTTAATAGTAACATTTAAACAAATAAGTAAATTTAAGACAGTTCGCACTTTCATTTCAATTTGATTGTTCAATCAAACAAAGCAATTTTTCTAATTTGAACCTTCTTTTGATAATCAAAGCTGTCAGACATAACTAACATACACAACTCAAGTTAGACTGAAATTACATACTTACTGAAACGTTAGAACTTTCAGGGGTGTTAGAAGTGTATCCGGAGGACGGGAGGGAAGCAAGGGACCATCTTCTGCCCTCTCCTCTGTTATATATATATATCCAAAAATACTTAACATGTTTATAACTTAGAAATTATATTATTTCGGTTAATTGTAATTCATCTTTTATGAAGAACATTAAGAAATATTTTCGTACACTTAATGTTAATGACACCCAGTATCAAGTTTATATAAAAATATTTTTGCCGCCTATTGATACAGGTAGAAACAAAATCCATTGAAAGAAAGCCCTTTTTTAATCAAAATCGTATTTAAACTTCATATTCTATGTTTAATAACAAAATAATGGTATACATCATTAGAATTATGTAGTACACAGGCGATACACATAAAGAAGTAACTGTACTAAATGGTCAATTTATCAACAGTACGTTATTACACAGTAATTAAAAAAAAACACAGCGAATAAGTTGTATAATATACGAATATTTTGTATTTGATTTAAATAAAGCAGTACACCTTATTCTTATGCTACCATAAGTTTATCAATGTATGATTGTGAAATATATTTTTCAAATGTCTTGTATTACTCCACAAAATTCACCCAAATTGTTTGTTTGCCAGTTCACCTTAACTTCCATATCAGTCTCATACAGCCTTAATAACATTCACATAGAAGTTTTGTGCGGATTGCAAACGTTCTTTTATGGGCCTCGTTTTTCCTTCCAGGTAAGTTTCATTAGATATGCTGCATGCTTATTTTCACTGCCTTGTCGTAAGATTAAAGCCCTGCTCAACATGTTTACTTCCTGAATGGATTACTTAATGAATACAAATCTTATTATATTTGTCAACAGTCAGGTTTCCATCATTTTGTGCAGAGTTTCAACACCATAATTTATTGGTCCCCAACTATATTGCACTATAGATCTTATATGTCGACAATGATTTTGTTGCCATCTCTGCTGTGAAACTAACTATCATTGATTATTGCCAAACGATATGAATTCGGATACATCTGTAAAGAGTACCCTCCTCTAGCCTCGATCAATAAAATCTGATGCCCATTTGTGCCTCTTGGTTTTCTTATCTTTGCTAATAAGTGATTTTTGAGCAGGTAAACATCTACTAAGGTCACTTCGTGTTAATGTGTTGGAGGTAGCATTCAGACCTGATTTTATAGCTGAGTCGTTGATAAGATCATACGATTGTCGCGTAGTACATGAAGAGCATACCCTGCATTTCATAGTGTCATTTTTAAAGAGTTTGAGCTTCTATGTGGACCGCTTTTACTATCAACAGTACTATGTGTACTTACCCTCTTCGGAGTTTTCATACATATCCTACTGAAACATGAAATCTAGCCTCAATCTATCACATGGATTAGCATTATCATCCAAAACTTTGATGTATACGCGTTTTGCATGTGGTATTTCTGTCTTCGGAGTCATTTGTGCATTTACCACACTACTGCCGAACAAAGTATGTCTGAATGCACTTTAATGGTCATCATTATGACGATGTGGCACTGTTTTATTATTTGGATGACGAAGTAAGTTATAAATATGTGAGTCTACTCTGGTGCATTACATTATTATACAGAAGACGAGGAGAAATCTTGCACTATTTACATTTTATATCCATTGCTTTTAATGTTTCTTTAATTATTTCCAATACTGTGTACACACATAATAAACACAAGATCTTTTTAAGACATTCACAAACATAAATATACAACATAAATTTAAAATATGTACAAATAATGATGTGGAACAGTGCAAAATGTCTGTGCTTCTATTATATAAAATACGCTAAAAAACAGAGGATCGTCTCAAAATACCAAAAAAAAAATAAACAAACAATTTACACTTGCCAGCCACTAAAAAACGATTGTTTTTCAAGTCTGAATAGAATTTTAATTCTATTGTTACTTGCTGTTGATGTTCTCACATCAAACCCACTAATACTGATAATAGATAAAACAAAACAAAAACGCATTAAAGATTTACTTGTTCTTGCTGTTGATGTTCTTACATCAAACTATTAATAGTGATAACAGATAAAACAAAACAAAAACTCATTACATATTTACTTGTTCTTGCTGTTGATGTTCTTACATCAAACTATTAATACTGATAACAGATAAAACAAAACAAAAACTCATTACAGATTTACTTGTTACTTGCTATTGATGTTCTTACATCAAACCATTAATACTGATAACAGATTAAACAAAACAAAAACACATTACAGATTTACTTGTTACTTGCTACTGATGTTCTTACATCAAACGCACTAATACTGATAACAGATAAAACAAAACAAAAACACATTACAGATTTACTTATTACTTGCTATTGATGTTCTTACATCAAACCATTAATACTGATAACAGATTAAACAAAACAAAAACACATTACAGATTTACTTGCTATTGATGTTCTTACATCAAACCCACTAATACTGATAACATATAAAACAAAAACACATTACAGATTTACTTGCTATTAATGTTCTTACATCAAGATACACTAACAAAGTAATTAATAGCCCATAAAAACGCATTATTTCTTTCACTTGTTCTAACTCATTCACATGTTATGATCAGGTTATTCAGGTAAGTATGCTTTTAAGGCTTATGAAAATATAACCGCTACATACGTCATAGCACGACAAACCAATTTTTGCTGATGGAAAATCAGCTATAAAAACATCAACAACACTATCTCTAAACCTTTGTATTTTAAACACTTAAAAAACCTTTCCCATACAAGATTTCTCTTATAGTTACAGGAAGAGTTCTGGGCCACATTATAAAATAGTGAAGGGTGTTAGGTCAGAGAAAACTGTATTGTATAGCATCTGTATTAAGTAGTTACGGTAAGGTTGTGACGATCGGATATGATCGTTCTCATAGTTAGTTGCATATACGTCCACTTAAGTCGAATTATAAATTTATTATCATTTTTCAATACTAGATATTAATTACTAATAAATGACTTAAGCATGTTTTTTGTCTGATGTTTAAATAGACATCTAACCAAAAACGTGTACCCATATGACATAAAATATCATGTTTCAAATCCTGGTTATCCAAAATCAGAATCCACGAGGTTTACTATCGTCTAGAGAATTAATTATTAATTAAAATATGATCAATAATGCATTATATAAATTATACTGAAAGACGGATAAACCACAATAAATATTTAGTAATCTTCGGTTCCGTCGATGCGAAAGATACAAGTCAAAATATAACCTTTCTCTTAAGAAACAATTGACGCAATATGGTTATTTAATAAAATTCTGCCCTCTTTTACCGTATACACGAGTTACTGCTTAATGGTTTTACTTCTACGTACAGGTGAACATGGAATATCATATCCTAACCCTTAAAATGTTGTATTCTATGCAGGAATTAATTATTGCAGTTTTTACGATTCTTTTAAACAATAGTTCAATCTCTTGAAAAACATCCATGCATAACACTATAGAAGTTACTTGTACTTACGCCTGTAAATATTTCGTTCGTTTTCCTTCTACATTAAGCTCAAACTTAATGTACGTCTGACTGTTCTTGCCATAATTTACTTCTTGTTTCCATAACAACCATTAAAAAACTCAATCTGGTCTAAGTTCTAAAATACGTATAATAATAAGTTTGACATTTTGAAATAGCCACGTTCCTGGAGAATGTGTAGTTAGCGGCTACAGAAAAGTGACATGCCACTATTTCTGTTAATCTTATTGTTTTCAAATACCCGAATTCATATCTATTATCTACGTATGAATTTTTTTGTCTTATTTTCTTTGAAATATCAATGTGTAATCTTTCCATCTCACATCTAGTTAACTACTTATCAATAATGTTTCTCTAACTCCCACAAACAGGAAAATATGTTGACATGAGTATACGTCACAGACACGTAATTAAAAAAAAAAAGGCCGATCGTATAAGATTCAGTTCTTTAGACAGGTGCGTGAAGAGGCCGTAGGTTAAAACTAATAACCTTTCAATATATGAGCTAAAAAAGAATAATCACAAAGTAATAACTATTAGTTTAAAGATACGGACTGGTTAATGATGGGAACACTTATGTGTTACATATTTCTTTTCGTTTTTTTTACCCAGGGTAAGACTGAAAAGAAAATCTGTGACGTAGAGGCCTAATGCATTCATTGATTGAAAGAAGACTCACAAACTCCATACGTATAGTCATGTCAACAGCTTTCAGATTTTAACCAAACTGCTTCACACAGTCTAGATATTATCATTATATATATATATATCCGGTTCCACGTAAATAACCTTATTTCAAGGTAAGGTTATACAATAATAATTTTCTTTAACAATTTTGAGATTGTTAATGTTTCCACAACGATGAGATTTAACTGACTTTCCGGCGGAGAATATTTTCAACGCCATTTGGTGTAACAAAGAACTGTTCAATATTTCTTGTCCCCCAGTGGCACAGCGGTATGTTTGCGTACTTACAACGCTAGAAACCGGATTTCGATACAAGTGGTAGGCAGACCACAGATAGTCCATTGTGTAGCTTTGTGTTTAACTTCAAACAAACAATATTTATTTTTCAAATAGTTTACATGTATCGTTTTTTTTTAGTGCTTAGACGAGGACGTCTGATGATTTCTTAAAAAAAAAGAAACATACTAGATGTTTATCTCAACGTAAAGTTAGCAATGGATGAGGTTCTTTTTATTTATCTTGCACAACATGGCACTTTTAATTAGGTTTAGGGGAAGCCCTGCCACAACAAGGCACTTTTAATTAGGTTTAGGGGAAGCCCCGCTACTAAGAGCATTAAATAAGTTGACATTAAATATAACCGCCTTATTTGATTTTATTATTAACCCTGCAGCGTATTTGCATTTTTTATTCTGTTAAACCTTAAATTACCTACACGCTATACGAGTATTTTGTAGATCATATCATTGCAATAAAAAATTGAATTGTTTAAGATTTATTAATGCTGGCAGTTGCTTTCCCCTTTTCTTGCTCATAGAAAACAATCCTAGCGCTCATAACCATTGTATACTTGAAACTATGACATATAATATTCAT